ATTGGAATACCTATTTTGGAATTCAGTTACATGAGAAAAGCTTGACATTTTTATGTTTATTGAAAAGAATAAATTAAAAGTTTGAGAACCATCATTCTAAAGTAATTAGTAAATTAAAATGCAAACTCTAGAATTTCCCATCCTTTAGCAAACCAAGTCATACTGCCACTAGTATGGGGAGTCTTCTCAACTTCTAAGGTAAACAGTGATTCAGTAATCTTATTGTCCATTAAAAGTATACTTTGTTTCAAACCACATGTAAAGTAACAAAGGCACATCATTATACTGAAAACCTGTGTCCTTTGTGTACAATGTGTATACATTGTATTTATTCTCTTGGCTTCCATGTTTTAATCTGCTAAACGATAGGAGTTCACCTAGATGAACTCCAAAATCCTTGGCAACTCTATCATTGGATGAACCTGTGGTCTTTCCCACCTCCTACGCACTGGCACTGTGAAAGACCAAAAGGGAGACTGTGCTGCGGATCAGAGAGCATGGGCACCAGCCTGAGTCCTGATACAAACTGGTTGCCTCAGGTTGAACTTAGCACATAACCTCTCAGTACGTCAGTTTCTTATAAAATAAACGAACCTGATTGAACTATCTTAAAAGTCCATGTATGGTTCACTGGCATAACATTTCTGATGCCCTCTTATCTTAGGGATGCTTTGGAACTCTGCTTCTCAATCCTTGAAGGTAATTATCAAAAATATATTGAAATGATGATTTAGGATCAATTATATAACAATGTTTTTCTTTTTAAAAATACTATGCTAAGCACATTTAACATGAAATTTACCCTCTTATTGTGTTTTTAAATGCCAGTACAGTATTGTTAGCCATAGGCACAGTGCTTCTAGAGCTTACTTATCTTGCATAACTGAAATCTTATACCCATTGAACAGCAATTCTCCATTTCCTCCTCCTTCCAGGCCCTGGAAACCACCATCCTAGTCCCTGCTTCTATGAGTTTGACTATTTTACGTGCTTCATATGAAGGGAGTCATGCAGTATTTGTCCTGTGCCAGGCTGATTCCACTTAGCATAGCATCTTCAAGATTCATCAGTGTTGTCGCACATTGCAAGGTTTCCTTTTGTAAGGCTAGAAAATATTCCACTGTGTATATATACTACATTTTCTTTATCCACTCATCTTCCAATGGACAATTGTGGTTTTTAAATTTTTTAGTGGCTCAAATTGTAATTTTAGGAATTTGGCAAATGCTGACTGGTTTTAATTCTTTTTTACTGCCTTTAGAGGAAAAGCAAACAAATAAACTCATAAAATCATTGGGAAAACAAGATCTGGCCAATCAGATGATAATTTTGACTGGTGTTCAAATCATCATGCTCTTTTTTAATTGATCAAACCTGTTAAAATAAAAAATGTAGGTGAACAAATAAACTCCCCTCAAAGAGAGAGAGTGTGTGCTTCTAGTTTCCATGGTGTTTAAATCATCAGCTTCTTCCACACCACAGTGAAGAAATATCCAAGGTTAATATAATTTAGAGATTAACCCAACTCCCTTATTCTGGTATTGACTAAAAGGTAATTAACTCCTTTATTCTGGTATGGGTTAAAGGGTAATAGTGACTTATGCCTTTATGGTACTCTTTATCTGAAAAGTTCTGTGAATCAGCAGGAAAAAAAAAAAAATCCCTCAGGGAGAGTGAATGTCAATAATTACCATTTCCCCCCCACCCCCGCCCCCAAGTGGAGACTTTAAATTGCAAAGAAAATGAGAAGAAAGATTTTACTGAATATTCTAAGTTAGAAGCAGAAGATTAAAGTGTCTCAGTTTCTACTCTGATTAAAATACCAGAAACAAAATGCCTTGAATGAAGATAACATTTTTTTTGTCCTCAGTAATAAATTCAAATATAGAATTCATGAGCGATAGTGGCCAGACAGAATATTTACCTAAGTCCTAATACTATGTAAGTATAACCAGCTGGCTGAAAACAGACTTCCAGTGGACTCAAGGACTCAGTGTACCCTAAAATTATGTGCAAGCCTAACTGGTAGTTCTGGGAAAATATGAGAAGAATCAAGAACAATTATAGAAAACATGTAGGTATATACTGAATATATGCTAGCTAAATGGGTAAAATGAGATATATATTAAGCTCATTGCTTGTTTAAATGTAGATCAAAGAGACTGTTGCTAACAATGATTTTATAGTTATATGTATATATTTAAACTTCCCAGTGTCAGATTAAAAATCAAAATTCTGATATAAAAAGTTGATCATGGACTACATTTAAAGATTTAAGAACTTTAGTTCATTTTAATTTTACTTTTTTGTGTGTGGGAGACTGAAATTTTATTATGACTCAAATCAGTCTCCAATTTTAGTATTTCTTTGGATAGGAGAAAAGTCCATTTGAATATCTCTTACTCTATAAGTCATCAGCTCATTTCTAGGAATTAAAGAAGTTGTATCTAACATAAACTATCAGTTTTCATTTAGTACTATTACAACTGTTAAATATTCCAAATGTTCAGTGACTGGACAAAGTATAGATGAAGAATTGGTAGAAAGAAATCTGGGTTGTTGATTTCATTATCTTTAACTATTTGAAGCCAACCATGTTTTTCAAAGAGACAACAATGGTATCTTCCTGCATTAAAAGATGGAGCCTGCCTCTCCCCTTAAAACTGGGCAGACTTTTGTAGCTGGTTGACCAGTACAGTAGGAAGGAAAAGACTTTTCCAAAGCCAGGTGATTCTGCTACTTCTTCACCAGGTGGGATATTGCAGTGGCTCTCTGGTCTGCCATGTAAACAGTCTGACTGTTCCACCATGCTTCAAGGAAGCCCAGACTAGCCCATCAACACAGACCACTTGGAGAAACCTTGAGACTGCACAAAGAGAGAGAGGCTCAGACACACCCCATCTGTACCAGCATCCCTCTCCCCCACCATCCGTCTCCATGAGAGACCCCGGGGCAGACTACTACGCCAAATTCCTCCCTAATTCCTAAGCCACAGAAATAGTGAAAAATAGGTTGTTGTTCTGAGCCACAAAATTTTGGACACTTGTTATGCAACAGTGGATACCTGGGATACCCTCTTACAGAGAGAATGCCCGCTCTAAGAGTTTTGCTTTACAGAAAGTAAAACTGTTCTAAACTAGAACTGCAATTTTTGAAATTATAATGTTATATAAATAATGGAGAGGTGTGGGTGTGTAGTTAGTACACTCAGGTAAATGAGTTGACAGGTGAGCAGTTATACCTAAAAAGAGATCTGTCCTGTGCCACCTTCTCTCCTTTGTCTCATCCAGTGTCCCTTACCTATCTATGACTTTCGTGATTTCTCACTCACGGTTCTCAATTCTGGATGGATATTAGAGTCCCTGGGAAAACTTTTTTTAAAAAGGAATGCCAAGTCCCGGATTTGATAATCTGGAGTGGGGCTCAGGTTTAGCTATATTTTGAAAAATCACCAAATAATTTCAGTTTGCAGCCAGGGTTGAGACTCACTTTGATGCTGATGGTGCCAAAATCTCTATCCCTGGCTCAGTTCTTTTCTGGAGCTCCAGATTTACAGATTCAGCTGCCTGTTAGATATCTGGACATGGATGTCTCACAGGCTCCTGAAAGAGTAAAGCTACCACCACTGGTCCCTTCTCAGGAAATGATCCCACCAGCCACATAGACAGTCGAGCCAGAAACCAGGGAATAACCCATGTTCCTTCATCTTCCCCATTCCCTGCATCTAGTTAATCGCAAATCAATCGCTTCCTCCCAAGAAATTTATTGAGTCTTTTTCTACACTGCCCTATCTTGGTCCATTTCTCTCCTCTCCTGGACACTGTTGGAATCCTAACAGGCATCCATTTGATCTCCTCCAACACATTCACAAAGAAACTGGAATGACCTTTAATATGCAAGTGTCATGTTCCTCTCCTGAGTAAAGCCCTTCAATGGCTTGCCCTTAGAATAAGCCTCAAAATTATAATAAGGCTTCCAGGGCCTTGCCCACTTTTGCCTTGTGCTTTTCTTCTCCAGCGTCACCCACAATCCCCCTCCTTTTCATACTTAATGCTCCAGCAATCTTTGACCTTCATTCCTTTGAGCATGCTCTTCCAGTCACTCAATCCTATCTGTTCATAGACGTTGTGCCCTCTTCCTGGAATGCTCCACCTTCCCTCCCATTCCCCTCGCCTAACTATAGTGCTACTAACCCATCGTTCTTGGTTTAAGCTGACTTCAGTCCTTGGAGGGGCTTCCCTTACTCTCTAGACTAAGACAGGTCCCCTGTTATAGATGCCAGAGCATCCTTACTGCTTCTTCTATAGCATTCATCAAACATTTGCCTTCCTAGACTATAAACCCCAATACATCTGTCACTGCTGCAGTCCCGCTTCTGAGTCTGTGCATTGTGACTGACTGAAGAAATGAATGAACAAGTATTAAAAGATTAATTTCAACTTTGAGGGAAGTTTTTATGATAATACTCTGGCCTCTATACTTGGCCATGTCCTATACAAAATTCAGATAAACAAATCTAAGATATAGAGGATGTTGACTAATTTTTAAAATGATACAAAATTGGAAGGAATGGCTGAAACATTCCTGTTTATGATGGGACAAAATTCAAGGTTCCAAAACATAACAGCTGACTGGAGTGATGAGTCAGAATTTACATACTGAAATATAAGAAAGATGAATATAAAATCCTACCTTTGTGTTCTAGTCATTGCACAAGGCCAGGGGACACTTGTCTCAAACTCAATGGAAGGAGAGTTAGTAGCAAGTAACCTGCATTTGACCTAGTGATTAATTAATGTGGCTCCTAAAATTGCAGATGTCACCTTAGACTCCTTTAATGGATAAACGGCGTCCAGCCAAGGCAGGTGCAGGTCTCACAATCCTCTGCTCTAATCCAACCACTTCTGGAGCAATGTACTTCTCTTATAGCACCATATTTTAACAGGATATGCTCAGAAGAGCTTGATCAGATAGTAAAAACTTGGGAAGCACAGCTTATGAAAAATTGCAAAAGAGCATGTTTACTCTATAAAGATGGAATTGTGGAGAACACTTTAGTTCTTTTTAAAAAGCAAAGGGCTGGACTGCAGAAAAGGGGTTATACTTACACACCAGCAGGCAGGACTGGGACCACAGACTGGCAATGTCTAACATCCTTTCTCTGAGCATGTCCTTATCATCAACCTTTCTCATCTTCTAACTGTCTTTAACATCTGTTCTTTCTCATCCCTTAGCCTCTCTCTAGTCTTCCAATTCATCCCCCCCCTTTATAGACCACAGATGCCTTCATCAGCCACCTTAGTGATATGCAGCCCCTGTGTTTCAGAGCCCTAAAATCTACCACTACATTTCTTACAGTTTGTAACCATGGATCGTTCCTTTGCTCCTGCTTCTGGCTTGTTGAGAATTGTTGGGGAAAGCCATGCCGATCGGCACCGTAACAGATCTGTGCAGTCCAGCACCGTGGACTCACAGGCCTGCTCAGCAGTCCGCGTTCATCAAGTTCATTTCCTATCTCATTCCAGTAAAGGCAGCTCTAAACCTTTCTCCACTTTTTAAGCCCCAAAGTGAATTCTAAAACTCTTATGCGGAGGAATGGTTTCCATAAATTTTCCCCTTCACAATCTGAAATTTTTATTATGTCTTCACTCTCCCTTCTTCTCCTTTTCTCCTTTCTCTGAATTCTTAGAAAAACAGAAGAACCTCCCTTCCATTCCACATGGGTTTTGATGATGTTTCTCTTATTTCTGGTGGAAACTCATTTCATAATTTATCTCCTCTCTTCTGCTCTTCTAATTCTTTCTCACTGCCATCTCATTCCCTCCATCAGTGAACATGCTCATGCACTTTGGGGAGATTAATTGTGCAATGACTGTTTTAAGATGGATTGGAGAGAGGAGAAACTAAGCCAGAGAATCCCATTAGGAGGCCTTTTCCAGAGTCCAGGTGAAAGACAGGGGAGCCTGTCCAGATTAATGAAAGAAAGAATAGAGAGCAGGTAAGATTCTGAGGGGACATTGTTACCAGAATGATGTGCTAGTTATTGATGACTTTGCCTTATTTTCCTTACTCTTTTGTCAGCTTGTTGGATGCAAAGATTGTGTCAGATTCATTTCACTTTCCCTCACAAAATGTGGCTTGAATGAGTGAATGGCTACAATCCCCCCAAACCTTTGTGGAGAGGGTTGCCATCTGGAAGGCATATTTTTTTAAGAGGTGATAGTTGGTGGGTTAGGGAAAGACATCTTCTTATAAGGAGGGAGGAAGAGAAGAGTAGGCCTTTGTTTCTCAAAGTGTGGTCCATTGCATTCATTTCCGGTTGCTGCTGTAACAAACTGCCACAACTTCAGCAGCTTAAAACAATACACATTGATTATCTTCTAGTTCTGGAGGTCAGAAGTCCGAATGGGTCTCACTGGGCTGAACTCAAGGTATCATTTCTGGAACCCTGGGAAGAATAATCTTCCTTGCCTTTTCTAGCTGTTAGAAGCTGCCTGCATTCCTTGGTCCGTGGCCCCCTTTCGTCTTCAAACCCGGAGAGGCTGGCCAAGCCTTTCTCTCATTGCATCACTGTCACACTGACTGTCTTCCATCTCCCTCAAATTATAAGGACCCACTGAGATAATCCAGGATGATCTCCCCATTTGAAGGTCAGCTAATTAGCAACCTCAATTCCATCTGCAAATTCAGTTTGCCATGTAACCTAACATGTTCACATGTTCCAGGAGGATAAGGCCATGGATGTCTAGGGGGCCATTATTCTGCCTACCACATCCCTGGACAAGCAGCATTTACATCAACTGGGAGCTGATTAGAAATCTAGAATTCAGGACCCACCCCAAGCCTCTGAATCAGAATCTTCATCCCAATCAAATCCCCAGGTGATCAGAATGTATTTTAAAGTTCGAGAAGCCACAACTAGACCGTCTCTAAGATCCTCCCCACTTTTACTTCCCATAATTCTATAAAAACTGTTTCTTTTTTCCATCTTCAAATCTGCATTATTCTTTCTCCTCCTGGTTTCCTGCCAAAAAAAAAAAAAAAGTTAATTTTGATTTGTACCCCTGGTGTTAATTCCCCAAAAGTCAGCCAAGTAGAACATGACAACACCTCATGCATATTTTTTGCTGGCAGGAAGTAGATGTTAGAAAAGGCAATTAAATTATGGAATTATCCATGATGCAAAGGTACTGGTTTGCAAAGAGTATTTTCTTCCCCAAGAAAATTCATAGGAAAACTACCTCCATTACTGTGTAGATAGTGGCCCAGCAAGTGAAGCAAAGCGTACACAGATGAGCTGTTTTTAAGGCATCTCTGAATGGCTCAGCATTTGAGAAATGTGACCAAAGCTGATTATAAAACTCCTTTCAAAGTTGCAGGAACGGCAAACCCATAAATAACTCCAGTTCCCATTGGTGTGAGGAGGAGGTTGCTGGCTGCTTGATTGCTGTCCTTATCATAGGGGATAAGGTTAAGCTCACCTCCAAGATTGCAGGCTTCTTAAGGAATGAGCCAGCCATATGCTGTGCCTGGCACCCAGGAGGCACTCCATACATTTTGGGCTTGAATCCATTAAGCGTTTTAATAGTGTGTAATACTTAATTCTTAATTAGAGATGCACTTAAAAATGGATAAGTAAAACTGGAATATGTCAGTAACCATCTTCCTGGACTCCCTGCTTCCTTTTACTCATTCAGTCAGTCATCCATTCTACAAACATTTATGAATAGTCTACTGAATGCCACCCGTTGCTCTAGACCCTGTGGATATAAAGATATGCTCCCTGTCACTCAGTAGAACAAGAAGTCACATAAGTAAATAATGGTGGCAACGTCAGTGTTGGAAGAAGTGTGTGAGCAAAGGTCTCAGGCCTCTCTTCTCCCAGCTGCCATGTACATTCTAATGGGACTTATCTTTGAAATCTTCCTTTTCTCACCTTTGCCAATCGGGATTAATTATTTAGCTTTATTATTTTTATTTCCAGCCCTGGCTATTAATGTTGTCTCCAGGCATACCATACTTGCTCTAGAAAATGAAACCCTCTCAAATTAGCACAAGTTAAAAAAAAAAAAAAAGAGAGAGAGAGGTTATTATTATAAAGGTCTGGCAGCGTCTCATGAGACTTCAGGAAAAGTTAAAGGAACAGGAATGCGAGAAAGTGAGGCAGCTGTAAGTCCAGCCTCTCTTCATCTGCCCTCCAGCTTCTCTCCCTTTGTGTTGAATAGCTCCGACCTTCAAGGCAGAGGGTCTAATTGGCTCACTTTGTCTTTTCTAGCCAGGCCACTTCCTGACCACTGTAATTCATTGTCACTGTGTTCTGATTGCTTCCTTCATAGCACTCACTTAGCACAAGTTGCAGTGATATATTTTAATTTCTATGTTTATATCCATTTCCCTCTCTAGTTTTGGCAGTGACCATATCTGTTTTGTTATGGCTGTATCCAGCCACTAGTGCAGTGCCTGATCATAGTAGATGTTTAGTAAATAATTAAATGAAAGAAGAAGAGGGGGATAATATCACATTAACCACCCTAAAGATAGACTTAGACTTCCTCATTGTACCAGTTACACCATAGAGAAGGGAAAAGTAGGGACAGAGTCTTGGGTCCACGGACCCCTTAGCAAGTCTGTGGAGGGAGGAGGTTCTCTAAGAAAAAGGGTAGACAGGGTAGTCTTCCCCCAAATACGTCTCGACCAACATTCAAGCCACATGGTCTTTCCACTTCAAAGCCACACCTGGAGGGACCCCTTAATGCAAATGCTCCCACTTTTTTCTTTTTAAAATCTATTGAGTAGCTAATATATGCCAAATTCTATAGGAAACACTTTACAGGCATCATCCCTTTCCATTTTTACACAGACTCTAGAAGATAATATCCTCATTTTACAGCTACAGAACCAAGTTTCAAAAATTTAATTAGTTCACCCAAGGTCATAGAGCTAGAATGTAGCAGAGCCAAGATTAGAACATAGGTCTTTCTAACTCCAGCGCTCTTTCCATGACATTTGGCTCTCTATAAAGTACTCTCCCTTACTCGGGCAAACTTAATTCCTTCTCTGTAGCAGCACAGTGCCCTGTTCATAAGGACAATACAGCACTTATTACCTACTTTTATTGTAGACATTTCTGGCTCCACTGCTAAACTATGCCTCCTTACAGCAGAACTATATCTGGTTTTTCTTTGTATCCTCAGCTCCTGTCATTTAATGGGGGCTCAACCAACGTCTGTTTGCTAAGGTGAGCCTGGGAAGGATAGACAGGGAGTTACTGTGCTTTTTCATATTTTTAAAACTCCACAAAATACCATGAGTACCTTATTCTACAGAAGTAAAATTGTAAGAATGTAAAAATCTCATAAATATTCCTCCAGTCTCTGTTATTGAAATTTGAAGAACACATATATGTTCTCCCTACCCATATTATGCTTAATGACATCAATCAAGTGAGACCTGCCCACTGTTATCATGGGTGGTAGATGCAGAGTGCTGGGATGGTCCACACACACACCAATGGAGTCTTTTTTTGACTCCGAGCAGCCGCCTGTTGTAGCTACAAGTTGGCATTCTCTCACTCCACATATATGTATGAAATGCCTACTACATGCACCATATTAGTTGCTTGTGAATGGGCATGGTGATTATCCAAAAATGGCCAAGATGAGGATTCTGCCCTCACGTTGCCTGCCATCTGGGAGATACGACACACACACAAATACTGGAGCTATAAAGGAAAGGGGCTAAGACACTTGCTGACCAGGGACTACAGGAGTTGAAGCAACGATGACCTCTGGCAGGGAGTATGGAGAAGGATTTCGTGGAACGCATGGCATTTCACCTGGAATGTACAATTCAGACACATCTTAAAAAAACCCAGCCTGGGGGTGGGGGCTCACAACTGGGCATGGGGGGCTTGTCTGTGAAGGGGTAAAGTCGGGCATTTAGAAAGCAAGTTGGAGCCCAATTGTTGCTGGCCTTGAATGCCAGGTTGCAGATAATGAACTTTATTCTTAAGTTCTTAAGGAAGAGGGTAAAATGGTCATGAATATACTCCAGGAAGAGCAGCTGCCTGGGACTGAATTGCAGGGGAGAGACTGGAAGCAGAGAGAGCAGTTATTTTATGTTTATTTGATAATGCCGGGTCTTTGCTGATCACACAGCTGTGTGGGTGGATTGAAAACTTTGGTCAGAGCCACTTTTGAAACTCAGACATAGTTTTAGTGACTCATCAGGAAGTCAAGAAGAATTTCTAAGGGTCATCACAGCCAGGCTCAAAAGATGCACAGTATGAATGAGGAAATCCATTAACAGCTCTTAACCAGACATCTCAGGGACTGAGAAGGGAAGTTAGTTTGGGAAACTGAAACCAAACAACGTCCATGAAAGTCACACTGCCTCACTGCCCAGTTAGTGCAGGCAAAAGGCCAGCAGGGCGGGCCTGAGGCTCAATGGGGCAGAGCCTGCAGAGTCAGATAGGGAAGCCCCAGAGAGAGGAAGGATCATGACTAAAACGCTCAAGAGGTGGCATCAAAACATCGTGCTGTTTCTAGATAGCACATTGACTTTGCCAAACCAGAGTGAAATTAGCAGAAGCAAAATAGGGGAACATAATTTTGGGAAGGTAAAACAGTTGCTAAATGAACCACTAACTAGCCATCTTGACTGTCACCCAACAGCGGCCACCTGGTGGGACCACTTTGTTTATGGCATGAGAGCCCTTTAGGGGTGCAGCCAAGTGCAGCTTCAGACAGTGGCTTAGGTGTTAGCCTGGGCTGTGACAATGAAGTAAAAGGCTGTGTGTGTGAAGCTGCGCCAAAAACAGCCGCTGCAAAACAGCCGCTGCGGGCGTGAATTTTATGAGTTCTCCTTATGCAAACTACCATTAGTCACGCATTGATTGATCCATTCCTCCAGGAGCATCCGTCCTCGGAAGCTTGGTTTCCAACTGCAAAGGCAAGCCTTTCAGTACAGCCTCACCATAACTCTTCCTTGGTCATCCACGCCTTATATTTAAAGCTCTTCATAATGACGGCTTTTTTTTTAGATTAAAATGCTTAAACCCTTTTTGATACCACTGAATTATGAGTAGTGACACAGTGAGGTTCCTTTATTTTTATGTGCACATGTGAGTTCATACAATTTCTCCATCTTTCTCGAAGACATTTCCATAGGAAAATAAACATAGTGAATTTATAAACAACAGGCTGAGAAACTGCCGCGCTCTCCACATTAACCAAGTCAAGTGATTAAAGCAGAAACAGAGGTTGGCCCAGAAATTTACTAGAATTCAACATTGCTATATGATATCCAAGTATAAGCAGAAACTATTTTTTTCCCTTTTTTCTGTAAAACTTGGAATACCTGTCCTAATTAAATGTCTTCCTCCAGGAATTGCATCTGATAGTCAGTTAGATTTGATATGAGAACTCAGTTATTGACAGTTTTCTAAGGATACAGTCAGTGCTAGGATATACAAAATGACAAGGATAGAAAATGTTTTCTGTGCACATCTTACCATGTATTTTTTTCTTTTAAAGGAGGATAGGCAAGAGTAGTATAAACATGTAAAAAGGAAGTATCTCTACAAGTAGTGGTTTATTTTGTGTTTGCCTTAACATAATACAACATTGTATTTTGCAGGGGAGAGACTGGAAGCAGAGAAAGCCATTTTTTATGTTTATTCCATAATTCTAGGTTTTTGCAGTTCACACAGCTATGTAGGTGGATTGAAAACCTTTGTCTAATATAACTATAATGTAGTTAATATAATTGCTGTTATATTAATTATATTATTTAGATGTGCCTGATGTAATAATGATGGTGATTATTAAGAAATTTTATGTAATGTGAACTAAGCCATAGTGGCTTGAAATAAATGCTAGATTTTATTTAAAAGAGCTATATTGGAAGGGTAACGTAATCTTTAGGTATAATTCCAGTGCACTGGTAACAATGCGGCAAATATTATGTATTGTTGGACACATTCTGTTAATGACCTTCCTGGGCTGGATGGAGGGATTTTTTTGTGGTTTTTTTCCTCCCCACCTTGGCCTCTCTCAAAAACGAAAACAAAAACAAAAACAAAAAATGCTCAACAAAAGGATAGTTGAGGGATGCTCACACAAGATCAGAATCCTTTGCACAGCCTTGTAGGCCCTGTACGATCTGGTCCCTGCCCGGTTCTGATTTCCTCTTGTGCTCTAGAAGCCTACCCTCTGCCTCCCTCCCTAATCACGTCCAGCTCCTCCCTCCTCATCCATGCCTTGCTTCTCACTCATGCTGTTCCCTATGCCCAAAATGCTTTTCCCCTTCCCCTCCCACCCATCTCTTCTCATTCATCCTCCATCCAGGTCTCAGTGGATAAAGTCATGTAAGTCGAGTCTCCCTGTCATATGATTTTATACCACTTAAATGGAATTTGTAGGCATATATTTATGCAGTTATTTGGTCAATGTGTAAATCCTCCTCTAGTCTCTAAGTTTCAGGAAGTTCGATGGCTTGTCACATAGTAGGTGTTCAAAAAATACTCACAGAATTGGATTTTTAAAGAAGACACAGAGAATACGTGAGAAAGAACTTAGATTTGAAGACGTTCATTTTTTTAATGGATGCTAGGAAAACTAAGAACAATGAAATGTGAGAATAGAAAACAATCTATTGATTGTTTTGATCTATTGATTGTATGAGTCACACACATACAAATATATAAATATATATATATAAAATATTAGAGTCCTCAGTAAAACTCAAATATTTAGCACTTATAAAATGTCAAGATTCAAAACCAGCTTTCTAATCTATAGTGTCAGCACCTTTACAAGTCATATACCCACCTATGCTTGTGCTGGGTGGGTACATGACAGTAGCTTGTGCTGTTATCTCATTACAACCTAAATACTCTTACATGCAGATCTATATGGAATAGGTGATCTGTTTTCTAACATAATCAGGAAATAGGCTCTCCTGTTCAATGAAATGTTCTGGTCAATAGCATCACATTACACATACCATACCCATTTAATCCATATTCTGTGAATCCAATTATACTAAACTGCATTTAACTCTGAAACCCACTGGTCATAATTTAACTGCTGATGAAAACGTTCGAAGACCGTACAGTGCTTTAATGATCACTTACCTTTGCACCGTGCAGTATTCTAGTATTTGTCAGTAGCAGCTGCATTAATCCCTGTGATAGAAAATTGGGTGAACCAGGTTTTACTAAAATCAATAGAACATTCTGTAGTTATTGCAAATGCTGTGAGATAAAGGTCAATTAATTCTAATAGGCAAGAAGGAAGAATATATGCTAAATTTGACTAAGAAATGCATATATGTCATTAAACATTGAATATAAACTTTAACCTATTGAAATCTTTAGTGGATATATGTATTTACTTTTACTATTTTCAATGTTTGATTTTCAGAAGTGTGTTCACGAACATTTTTTGGACTGTAAGATTACCATTTCAAAAATACAATGCTCCACATTTTTGTATCTTTAAACATTAATGGAATTTCACAACACACTTCTGTGACCCTCAAGATGACTGTTTCCACTGTGCAGATAGAGAAGCTGAGGCATGAGGCTATTTCTGTACATTTTCTAAAGATACTCCCTGAGCCAGTGGAAAGGAAGCCTGAGACGGAAAAAGACTCTGTGTCCTCACTGAGAACACATCTTGTATGCATCTGTAGTCTTGGGGGAGGGTAGATTGAAAAACCAGAGGTGGCTTTTCACACATGCTCCTACACTCCTACAAGGAGGTCTTTGTAAAAATGTGTACACAAACAAAGTGGGTATCAAGGTGATTACCAGGATGAATTTTCACTAGTCTGGAATGCCTTGAGTATGCTTGATGGCAAGAAGGTAGATTAGTTGGCTTTTCAAGGCCTTTCTAATAGTTATAATTCTATCCAGTGGGCAATTCATAGATGAAAAATATTTAAAGTGTTCACCTTTCTATTTCTTTTTTTTTTTTTTCTTTACAGATCTATGCAGTTAGATCAGTTGTTCCCAACAAAAGCAATAATGAAATAGTCCTGGTGCTACAACAGTTTGATTTTAATGTGGATAAAGCCGTGCAAGCCTTTGTGGATGGTAGGTATACCTGTGCCTTGCAGCTGAAGATGCTAGACCTAAATATTCCAGATATTCCATATTTTTTTCCTTAAATGAACTGAGTGTCAATTCATTATGAGTACTTTAGGTCTCATAAAAATGTGCTAGGCTTCACATGATCGCACCACTGCACTCCAGCCTAGGTGACAGAGTGAGACCCTGTCTCAAAAAAAAAAAAGAAGTGCTAGATTTTACAAACACATAGACATACTCAATAAGAATAGAATTTGGAAGTTCTTTGTCTCTCATTTAAGGAAAAACAGACTCTAGATAGTTTTCAAAGGATATTGATTATAATGCTACTAATTTCCTTGCCTACCAGTCATTCCAATTTGATATTAAATGTGTCCTTGGCCAGCAATGACTCACGTCGATAGTCCCAGCACTTTGGGAAGCCAAGGTGGGCAGATCACTTGAGGCCAGGAGTTCGAGACCAGCCTGGGAAACATGCTGAAACCCTGTCTTTATTTAAAAATATATAAAAATTAGCCAGGCTTGGTAGTGTATGCCTATAGTCCTACCTAGCTTCTTGGAGGCTGAGGTGGGAGAATGGCTTGAGCCCGGGAGGCAGAGGTTGCAGTAAGCTGAGATCGCACCATTGCACTCCAGCCTGGATGACAGAGTGAGACTCTGTCTCAATAGATAAAGAAATAAATAAATGTGTCCTTTATTTGATGTCATTCTTATGAATGGAGGATAATGTATTTTGGTCCTTATCTGGAAAGTCTTCTCACTTCTCCAATCGGCATAATTCTACTTGGCTGTATGACTGGAATTCTTAAACTTGATGCTTATGTAGTCTAAGAGGACTGGTTTATTCTTTAATGTCTTTAGTTTATGATTTTTAGATTGCCAAACTAATCAGAATATCAGTTAATCTTACCTCTAAAATCTTTTTGCTTTATTTAAAAAAATTTGTTGTTTAGGTAATCCATTGCCAGAGATGTTACAAAATCTAAAGTCTCAGGAATATGTTTATCCTATAAATTTACAATGTAATGCTTTGGATTTCCTGTAAATTATGGGAAAATTCTCCCCTCCTAATCAAATTAAACAAGTTCCAGTTTTGAACAAAGATCTCTTACTTGTCCTTAGTTATCATATGTCTTCTGTCCTGGCATTAGTTTCTATTTTGTAAATATGGGCAAGCTACACATAATCTGTCAAATAAGGTCAAGGAAGACCTGCCAGCACATTTCTCAGTTGTATCCTATTTACAGTTTGTCAAGGACAGTTTGATTTACTTATTTTCCTAGGAGTAGAATAACCTTCTTGAGTTTCTAAAAGTATAATTGCATTTCAGGGCAAGGTCTTGGAACCAAGCAATATGCTCACATTCTGATATCAGCAGTCAAGGTTTAGGGTCCTAATTGAATTAGCAAATGGTTATCATTCAGTAGACCTAGAAGCAAATCCATGGTGCACAACTTTTCTCACTGTTTTTCCCTGCTTCATATACTAAGAGATACATAATTTTTAGTCACGAGAAGCAAATAGTAGAGAATGCAATATTAATCTAACTTTGCAGCGTTAGGTGCAGTTTGTCTCAAAAAATATCTGGAAAGAAGCACATCCTGGATCAGATACATTCTCTTTTCAGATTTTACTTGCCAACATTGCCTGCATGGAAAAAAAGCTTTAGGAAAGGAAAAAGGCTATTGTCCCCATTCCTTGCTACCCCCACTTAGATTGAGGCCCCCCACGTTCCTCATCATGAAAGTTTTTATTGCAGCATGATCTTGATGAGATGCACAGATGCACAGTAACTGATGGACTGTCATCAAATCTGTTTGTATTTAAACAGAGCACCTTGCTTGTCCTTGAAATTTTCACCTTGTCAATGTTGAGATCTCATTAATAAAACTCTTTGATTGCTGAGAAGCCCCATGAGAAGTCATTTTGGTTGGGGAGCAGTAGGAAAACTTGATTTAAAAATACTGGGTGCCAGGAAGGTGGCTCATACCTGTAACCCCAGCACTTTGGGAGGTCAAGGCAGAAGGACTGCCAGGAGTTTGAGACCAGCCTGGACAACATGGTGAGACACTGTCTCTACAATTTTTTTTTAGTTAGTCTAGAGTGGTGACACATGCCTGTAGTCCCAGCTACTCTGGAGGCTGAGGCAGGAGGATTGGCTGGACCCAGGCTGCAGTGAGCCATATTTACACCACTGCACTCCAGCCCAGGCAACAGTGTAAGACCCTGTCTCAAAAAAAAAAAAAAAAAAAAAAAAAAAACCCAAACAACTGACAGTCAAAAATATGTGTTAGGAGTCATTTATGAGGCATACAGAAAGCACTCTGAGTGGCTGAAAAACTCGAAGCCGTTTCAGTATAATTAAAATTTAATAATAACAGTTTCAAAAATCCTCTGTAAATATGGGTATTTCTTCTTCAAAATTAGTCCCTAAAGCTCATTGTCCAAATTACAAATAGAATGTATATCAAAACATGACAATTAGAGGACTAATTGAATATGGCAGTTGTGAAAACAGTAAGCAACTCAACACCACCTTCTGATTAAAATGAACAGTATTTAGCATTTTAAAATTTTAGTTTTATTTAGAAAACTGAAGCATAGCTCTAAGTAAGAACTGCCCTAATTATTATTAACCAAGACTTACCAAGAAACCTAACGAAAGGGACTTTCTAAATTTCTTCAAAAGGAAAATGCTGTGAAACATTAATTCTCTGGACAAATTAGAGGAAGACCAACCCAATTAATGAAAAGGCTGAATTATAGCTTACTTTTAGGCGCAGTCTTATTATTTCAAGTACGTGCAACTCAGACAAGTCTAAGAGCGGCATTGAGTTGGAAACTTTAAATAGATACGAATAATTAGCCTGTCTAAACATTAGTCAAAGCCATGTGGCCTTCTGCTTATCTGACAGTGACAGTAGACTCAATAATTGGGAGCCTACTAATTTGAAATATAATATTATAAAGACCAGCCTGAAATTTATCTTTGTTTAGCCAACATACTCCTTGTAGAGAGCTATTAGTATATTTAGATTAGAGCTATTAGTATATTTAGAGAATGCTTAAAATTGTTAAAAGAATACACTTAAGAGAGCTACTCTCTTTTAGAAATACTGTGCCTATTTATCTGAAAACAACTGATGTCCTCATTACCAATAACTTGTTATTGAAACTACCTTCAGCACAATTGGAATGAATGAATGAACTTTGTTCAACTATGTGGAAACATGGGTTGCAGCTGGCCAGCGATAAAACATTTTTTTAATGTCTTTTAATTTAATTAGGCATTTAATTTATATATAATTTAATATAATTTTAATATAATTTAATTAGGTATCTTCTCTGAGTCAGTGCAGTTCTACCTACATATGTGAATGGGATGGATAGAACCTGGGGCCCAACTTTTCACTTAATGAACTTTTTTTGGTTTCAAGGTAGAAGTCTTGTAAAGACCACATCCCATCTCTATCCATGCTAACTCCAGAGAAACTAATATCATTATAATGTGTCTTCCTCATCCCCCTGCAAGATGTGAACATATGAATAGGGACAGAAAAAGAGAAGGAGTAGCCAAATAGAAAGCTGCGATTCGCATTGTTAATAATATTCAGAATCCCATATTTGGTTCAGAAGATTATAGGTATTTTTATTCATATATCAAACAGAATAATTTTAATTCTACCTATGGCAACAAAGCTGCTAGAAAATTCTCAAGATATATTTCATTTTCCCTAAGACAATACAATGATAAAAAAGTAAGCTTCATGTAGTAAGGCTTAATATTTTGATAAAACCAAGATCATACAGTGAATTAAATGAAAATCTGGGAAATAAAAAATGAAACTGGCATTTTTATTAAAATAGGATGTATCAAAACATGAAAAAGCCAAAAAAAAAAAAAAAAAGCTGCTACCAAGATGGAAAGGCAGAGATGAATTTTGTGTGGTGTTTTATGATGTGAATATTTGTTGAAGATTCTTTGTCTTTATCTAGGCAGTGCAATTCAAGTTCTAAAAGAATGGAATATGACAGGAAAAAAGAAGGTAAGATTAATATTGATTGTAAATTGGTAACGTCTTCAATCAAAACCTTCATGGTTGTTATCATTTTAACAAGGCTGCCAGTTTTTGGCTTCTTTCAAATATGTTAATATATACACCCAGAAAGCTTCCAAATTCATGACTCTCGTAAATTACCAGATACTCTCACTAGTAATGCCCTTATTTTCTGCTCAGTGTTTTTAACAACCAGGTGTGCTTAAGAAGTCCCAGAGTTGTTCTCTTTTTTAAGTATAAAGGGGAGCCCAGCTGGAGAATTCAAAGGATTCAAAACATTAACTTGCCTGAACGTATCCTGTAGCACAAAGAAAAAAATTAAGGAGTATTTTAAAGATACTTGAAAACCTCTAAATATATTTTCGCATGTTTTTCCACCTGAAAGAAACTGTCCAAGGCTGCCCTGAGATGCTTTTTTGGCTGAATTCTAAGGTAGATCATTAATAAAAGAAGAAGAAAAGAAAGTGCCTTAGAACCATAATAAGTAAGGGACCTTCTTGAACACTGGTGTACTGCTCTTTGAGAACAAAGGGAAGGGGATTTTACTGTGTCCCATTCAAATTGGTATGCTTTCTTGTCAAGTCACAAAGGGCCTGGGATTTCTGGGAGCTCGTGAGATGCATCTGTGCATACACACTAGCAAAAGTGTGCCGCTCCTTTCAAAGTAACTGTGCCACTCATTCGCGCTATGACATAGCAAGGCCTTGTGTTTTGGTTTTCCCAGGATATCGTACGCCAGTCTACCCTTCCCCATGGGGAAAGAGCACAGGCCTGCAAAACAGGTTCTGAACAAACAATAACACAGTATTACTTTCATAAAACCTGAAGATTACTGAAATTACAGGAATCATCCTTTCCGTTTTTCTCCTCCTAGTTTCATGTAGAATAGGAAAATTGTGAGTTTTTTTTTTTTTTTAAACTTTGTATGCCACCATCTTTGACAATCTCTGCTTAATCTTTAATCATAGCTTCCCAGGCCTCTGTGTGAGATGAACATGATTTGCAAGTGATTGAAAGGCAGTATTTAGACTTACATAGAAACATTTCAAATGTGTGGTTTGGGTATTAGATTTTTCTGATGTGAAAAAAAGAGCAGATAGCAGCTGCAGACCCAACTCATTACTGAGTCTCCCTCCTGGAGGTTGAAAAGGAAAATGGTCTCCCAGCCAAGTAGATGTGAGGCTTGAGAGCCAGAAGCTGCTGTGGGTGTTTTGTGGGAATAAGTGCCACTGGCCTTGCCTTGACCCTGGGACACACACCTCTCACCTAGGAAAGCACTTACTGGGGCATGATTGTGGTTCGAAAGGAAAAGAGAACAGGGAGGAGAACTGAGAAGAGGAAACAGTTTCTTCTTCTTTTGTAAATGTGTTGAAGAACAAAGCCAGGCTGATGCTCACCTGGCACTCACTCATTCAGCAGGTGGGACAGGGTCGTTCTTATGGTTCAGGCGTCTGTTCCGATTGGCGGGGCTGGTACCATACTGTTTGTTGAGTACACTGAATATCAACTGGGTACAAAGCAACATCAAGTCAAGCATATAACATAATTAGGAACAACATCTTCTTAATTTTCTTGATATTCTTAGGTATTCACCATTAGAACATTTTAAGAGAGATATAGTAAAACTCTGTATTTTAGACTCTTGTGATATCGGGGGGTCTAAACAATTTCAGTTGTATAAAATGCAGGGTGGTGTTATTTCAAAGGAAATAAAATGAAGCCTTGTAATGCTATTCAGCTAGCAGCCGAGAGGTCCAGGGGCTTTCTCACAGGAAAAGGGGGACTTATATCAGTTTGGCATTACCTTGAAGCTGTTGTCTGCTCCAGCTGAAATATTCATGGGATGGCAGGGCGCAGTGGCTCATGCCTGTAATCTCAGCACTTTGGGAGGCAGAGGCAGGAGAATCACTTGAGCCCAGAAGTTCGAGACCAGCCTGAGCAACATAGGGAGACTCTGTATCTACAAAAAATTTTTTAAAATAGCTGCATGTGGTGATGCATGCCTGTAGTAACAGCTACTCAGGAGGCTGAGGTGGGAGGATCGCTTACGCCCAGGAGGGTGAAGCTGCAGTGAGCTGTGATCACGCAACTGCATTCCAGCCTGGGCGACAGAGCCAGAGTGAGACCTTGTTAAAATTAATAAATAAATAAATAATCATAGGGATGATTATGGATCCTGTGGCTACCTGGGGCTCACTAGACAATGACAGCAATTCCAGGAATCTCCTGGTTAACTGGTTTCTGTTTCAGAGACCCAACCTGGACTTTAAGGACCTACCTTCTGTGCCCTCATTTTACAAGAAGAAGTTGCCTGCCTTTTCCCTAGTAGTCCCCCCCTATACCTCTCCTTCTGCCCAGCAGATGGGAACCTTAGTGGCCTCCTTGCCTCTCCAGCATTCACCACTTTGAGATGAGAGCTAATCCCCAATGGCAGGATAACTGAAATCAAGTTTTTTCAGGATGGTTATCACAAGATTTTACTGTAGAGCCTCAAGTTGCCCAAATAATATGTCAGTTATTTAAGCCATTCCTTGTTGGTTTTTTCTTCCTTTTATTGGAACCTTTTTAATTGTGTTTATGAGGTGAAAGTTTATACAACTTACTATAAGAGAAAAGATACTTAAATTAACTTGGGTTTAATAAAGACGTAAATATTCATCCAGTCTGTAAGAAGAGCCAGGAACCAAAAAAGATAACGTATCTTATTTTCATCTCTCAGATTCACCTTATATTTCAAGAGTCTGAGTTGAATATTATGTTCTCATGTGTTTCTCATTCTAGAACAATAAAAGAAAAAGAAGCAAGTCCAAGCAGCATCAAGGCAACAAAGATGCTAAAGACAAGGTGGAGAGGCCCGAGGCAGGGCCCCTGCAGCCACAGCCACCGCAGATTCAAAACGGCCCCATGAATGGCTGCGAGAAGGACAGCTCGTCCACGGATTCTGCTAACGAAAAACCAGCCCTTGTCCCTCGTGAGAAAAAGATCTCAATACCTGAGGAACCTTCAAAGGCACTTCGTGGGGTCACAGGTCAGTAATGCTTAAGTAAAATTGCTTAGGAAGACACAGATGTAAAGAGCACAAAGGGAGCTCATTGGGGCTACTGTTGATATTGTTGACAATGGAAGGTTGTTTTTCTGCAGTGTGTACAGTTCAGCCTTCCTGAAGCCAGGATGGGGGGTGAAGGGGAATGTAACAGGGCAGAGAATAAATGCTCAATCTAGCTCTACACAAAGTCAGAGGATTCTCTCTCTCTCTCTCTTTTTTTTTTTTTTTGAGTCAGGGTCTTGCTGTGCAAGGCTAGAGTGCAGTGGTGTGGTCATAGCTCACTGCAGCTGCAGCCTTGAACTGCTGGACTCAAGCAATCCTGCCTTGGCATCCCAAAGTGCTGGTATTACAGACATGAGCCACCACACTTAGCCAGTCAGAGGTCTTTCTTAATGGAAGTTCTAGTTTAAAGAAATATTCCGTATAGACACCTATGCTAGAATTCACCTGGGGTAGAAGGAATAATTGATGACAAAAAGAAATGTTATTAAATGTTTTCTTTTAGAAAGGGCAGATTAAATTATTTTAACTGCTGGTATTTTTTATATGATGTGACAGAACATAATCTTCCAGGGTGTTAGAATCTGGAACATTAATTATTTGTGCTCTAGCTATATATTTATTAATCTTCAAAAGGCTACTTCCTAATCCACTGTTTGACTTTGGGCACGTCATCTTCTCTAGGGTCCCATTTCCTTTCTGAAAAATAAGGAAACTGCATTGGAATCTACTAGATCAGTGCTTCTCAATACCATCTGACCCAATGCCCCATTTTTAGAACAAATCCTAAAATAAAACTCATGCATAATATAACCTACCTAGAAACAGAATTTCAGTAAATAAAAATATAAGAAATTCAGGAATAACTAAAATAGATTTCATGCATAATATAACCTACCTAGAAACAGAATTTCAACAAATAAAAATATAAGAAATTCAGGAAAAACTAAAACAGAAAGCTCAATAGAGAGGCCAGATTTTTACACCCACTTATAATGAATCACTTTGCAATTAAATGAAGTAAGGCAGTAGTCAGCTGGATGTTGTGGATACTGTGTTCTTACATTTGACATGTACAGTAAGAGCTCAATAAGTATATTTGTATATAACATGGAATCACTGTGAATGCACCTGGTACAAATGCAGTCCGATTTAGGGGAATGGGTGTCAACTCTAATATCATGACTGCTGATGTGGTTTTCCACATGGCCAAAAATTCTCAGTCAAGTTCTAAACATCATGAAGTACCATCTTACTTTAATTTACACAATAGTTGAATCTTGGAAATCCAAGCAAATGTTGGAAATCCATAGTAAAACTGTCTAGAATCACATAATTTTATATATATATATATAAAAACAATCATGAATGTCCAGGAGAACATGAGAAAGTTCAGGACGCAGGATAATTCTTTGTTGTGTAGGACATTCCGAGGATTGCAAGTCATCTAACATCTTGCCCCCCAACCCCATCCCCAACATACGCACACAATCATTTTGCTAATTTTTAAAAATGCCCCCTCAGTTTTTCAGAATGTCTCCTAAAAGATGGTAGATCCCTTGATGAGAACCACTACACTAGTTGACCCCCAAAGTCCTTCTAGTTATAAAATCCTGAGTTTGTTGAATCAGTGGTGTTTTAAACTCTTGTTATATTCAGAGCACTGTGCTGGATGCCACAGTAGATTCAGAGAAGGATATGATATGGTCTAGGCCCTGATGGAATCACATTCTGATATCTTTGAAGAGAAGGCTGTAGATTCACTGGTGAGTTTAAGGTTTGGGGAAGAGAGGTGCAGTATCCAACTGAGTGATCCTGGGAGATTTCCTGGGAGCATTGGGTATTAAAGGACCGATAGAACTGAGGTGGTAAAAAGGATTTGGAGGGTTAGAGAGAAGTAAGGAGAACTTTACTGAGTGCCCTCAGGTATTGCACACCTGCTGTATATGACATACTGCTGTCCTCTGACAAACCAAAGATGAATAAGACCCATCCGTGCCTAAGAAAAGTTCAGTCTACCAGAAGAGATGGAGGTCAAACAGAAAAGCAAATGGTGACATGTACCAAATCAGGGTGGCAGTGAGAAGGCATTAAATAACTGGCACACTCCATAATACACTAGTAAGTTCTTAAATTGCTCACAAAGCACAAATTTTCTTCCAGAAACACATTTCGTAGCAACTCCACTAATAGTGCTGAAACTCATATCATCCTTATTTACTTCATGATGGTTTCCTAAAACCAAACAATGACAACAACAAAAATAACCTATTTCATTTTGAATCTGAATTCTCCAGGAATTTTTCAATTCAATTTTCACTGTGCCCACAATTTTAAGACTGTTTTGATTTATAGTCAGAGCAAGAGAAAGAAATTAAATAATTGAGTGGCAGATTCCCAGCTTTACTTGTTATTGCTTTCACATGAATTACTTTCAAAATCTAATTACTCAAGTTGCCATTTTGATATCAATCATAGAATAAAAGCTTAGCATGTATATATTTTCATTTACTTTTAATTTATACCTTCTTTGTAAAACAATGTCTGTAACTCTATCAAGTATATGACATTAAAGTAAATGCAATTTAGAAGTGTCTCCTTCCCAGTGGACAGCTTCCTTGAAAGTTAAGTACCCCCCGGGGAGTGGGTACAAGGGGGCTTTTGGAAATCCTAACATGAAACTTTCTGTGAAGAATTATTTCTCGCACAGTGATCCCATTCTCCCTTCTGTTTTTTAAGTATAGCATGAAGGCATTGAGATGTGTTAGTATTATTTGTTAATACAGTCACTGATTCATTACAAATGCCTGTGCAACAAATGCCTGTGCAACAAATTTTTCTGTTAAAGAATAAATGAGCCAGGCATGATGACTCACGCTTGTCATCCCAGCACTTTGGAAGGCTGAGGCGGGAGGATTGTTTGAGTCCAGGAGTCCAAGACCAGCCTGGGCAACATGGCAAAACCCCTGCTCTATAAATAATACAAAAATTAGCTGGGCCTGGTGGTGCATGCCTGTACTCCCAGCTACCTGGGAGGCTTAAGTGGGAGAATCACCTGAGCCCGGGAGGTTAAGGCTGCAGTGAACTGTGATCGTACCACTGCACACCAGCCTGGACAGCAGAGTGAGACCCCTCAAAAAAAAAAAAAGAAGAAGAAATGATGGTAATTGAAGGTTAGTAGATGTTCTTCCAAAAGGAAGCAAATTCTTCTTCTTAGCCCTTAACTTCATTAGCAGCCCACTTGTTATGATTGTAAATTTTAAAATGAGTTTTTAGCTACAGTAATCTGCCGTTATCCTTGGAAAACAGGTTCCAGGACCCCTAGTAGATGCCTGAAATCATGTGCACTGTTTTTTTCCTGTACTATACTATACTGTGCTACAATTTAATTTATAAATTAGGCACAGTAAGAGATTAAAAATAACCAAGAATAAATAGAACAATTATAGCAATATACTGGTCTCTTTCTTGCGCTCTCTCGCTCTCTCTCTCTCTCTCTCTCTCTCTCTCTCTCTCTCAAAATATCTTATTGCACTATAAACATCCTTATTGTGATGATGTGAGATGATAAAATGCCTGCATGATGAGATGCGATGACACCCAATCTGATCACCAAGACAGTCACTAGAGTGACGAGTGGGCAGGTATCGTGTATGGCATGGATACTCTGGACGAAGGCATGATCATATCCTGGGCAGGACAGAGTGAGATGGCACAAGATTTCATCATACTACTCAGAACAGTATGAAACTGAAAACTTAATGAGTTGTTTATTTCTGGAATTTTCTGTTTGCTATGTTTGGACCGCAGTTCACCATGATTTACTGAAACCGTGAATAAGGGAGGACTAT